CGTCTCCAACCCCCACCTCGCGCCCCACTGCCCTTAACCCTACGGCCCCAGTGAGCGCCTCCCTCTCCTCGTCTCTCCCTCACCGCGCCGCCCCGTTCCTCCCCGTCGCCGCTACCCCCGCCGTGGCCTCTCCCTAGCTTGCCGGCGTCTTCTCGTTCCTGCCCGCGGTCGTCGCTTGCCGTCAACCGTTGCTGGCTGCTGGCCCTCCCTGCCGCAGCCTCGCAACGCCGCCCGACCACCGCCGTTCGCCGCCGGCTGCACTTGCTGCACGCGCCCTGGCCGTGCCGCTCGCTCTGGCCTTGTCGTTCCCATGCGCGCTCCAAGCGCATCCCGCCCCGCACCCACAGCCACCAGCTTGCGCCCCGTCGCCCACCTCCTTGCTCGCGCCCTGCTGGTCCCGCCCCGCTCTCCCTCGCCGACTCCCTGCGCTTGCCTCGCCCAGCTGCCGTGGCCGGCCGGTGTGACGCGCCGCCGAGCGCGCCCCCAACACCAGTACTGCTAGAGCTATCACTGCAATGAGCAAGACATGCATGGTGTTCTTCTTCTTACTTGAGCAGAATATATCTTTATCTTTTGAGCATATGGGATTGCCTTCTAGTATAGTGACGTGACTACACAACATATAAAATAAAAATCAGCTCAGCTAAAAAATATCAGCTGCAACCGCTCTATCAATTAATGATTATAAGATTATAACATGTCTTCATTGTCTCACATGACAAACTTGCTAGTGGTCTTTCTAAACAACTGAACCTTCTCAAGGAGAAAAAAAGGTACATAGTTTCTAAATATGCGTGGTTATTGATTGGTTCTTACGTGCCTTTCATGTTGAAAGCACTATGTTATAAAGTTCTTCATGCTAGTATATGAAATAGAAGCACCTAAATTGGACTTCGATAACCATCCGTTTGGAGCTCAACTGCTTCAGCCATCGGGCACTGCAGCTAGAGTAGCAGCTTACGTTTAAACAATTTCTAGTTCAGATTAATCTTCTGCTACCTGGGGCAGGTATTCATGTACTTAAGTACTTTCCTTATCTAAGCTTATATTTGGGACGGAAATCTCTTGTTGAGGTGGTAAATTTGATTACCAGCAGGAAGTGAGCCTAGCCCAGCACTACCTGTCAGTTTGCCAATTGAACGTTTCTTGCTTGATTCCGCTTTCATTACAGGTCTCGTCTTTAACCAGTAATTGCTTTCTTAGTAGCAGCATTATAAATCCGTTGAATTGATCTATTCAGATAATACGGATGGATGAGGTCACACAAGCCGTTGAAAACTTGAAAAAGGAATGGAGCCAAGCAGTTGCACAGCTTGAGGTGTGCATTGCTGCAATTGAATCTTGTGGGAAGATGGGAAAAGGGACAGAAGAAGCAATGTCTCTTCCTAGGTTGAACGGTTCTGCACAGGATGCACTGCAATTGCTCAATGCACTGCAGTGCAGACTTGATCTTCTGGCAGAGCAGCTACCCACTTTTGAAGAAGTTCAGTCTGGACAGGCAACCTTAGGGTCATGGAAGGAACAATATCAGAGGTAAGCTGTTCTTAGAGTTCTTTCTTGCTTGCTTTGTTTCTTTAGTTTTTGTATACAACTGATTTTTGTTTCTCAGGCTGCGTGTGAGACTGAGGAGTGCTAACTTACAAGCAAAAGCGAACATGGGAAAGGCTGCTCAAGAAGAGGTGTGTGGTTTTTCTTCAGAGTATGCTCCATTAATTTGATACTTTACTAACTGAGCAATGCTAGCTTACCGTGATTTAAGGTGCTCTCACAATCTAATTTTGCTTTCTCTAGAGGGAGCTTCTTCTGGGAGGTGGAGAAGAGTCCACTATCCGTAGGCGTAATCTCCAGTAAGTTGATTAAATGAGGTCTTTGCATTGTTGGCATATCGTTGGAATATTTGAGACGTTAGTTGTATAATGGGTTTGATGATATGTTCAGTTTCACGAGAATTTCCTGCAAGTGTAGAACTCATGAAGGCCTCCATAGGCTGTGAATTAGTTCTAATGGAACAAGTTTACTTTCCTCATCCGGACTATTGAGAAATTCTATTTAACTCCTTAAATTGTGGAACTGGTTATTTAACCCTCTCATATGGCCATTAGTGGTTCGTATTAGTGTTTCTACTGACGTGGAGGTTATTTTGCCACTCTAGCAGCTTACACCACAGAATATGCAATGGTGACATCCAGTCAATCATCAGCAGCAAATAAAAAATGGACCTCTTATCTTCTTCACCCTCATCCTGTGTTTTGTCCACTTGCCAGCCCCATCACTGGCAGAACTCCCATGAATGTCAGTGCTCAGTTAAACTGCAGGGAGAAACTGTAACAATATTTATGCAGCCACAAGCACATTTCTTGCCTAGAAGAATGCAGATATGCTAACTCCATTTTATCGGGAATTTCGGTAAGGTAAGCCATGTTTTTTGAAGGTAGACACGTCAGTTACCCATGATAAATGACGGAGAACCTAAAGTAACTGAATCCAATTGTGCGAATCGAAAGGGGGCGGCAAATTGATCAATCCAAACAAGAATTGAAATAGGCACATGCCAGAAAAGAACAGAAAACACATTAATTGGCAATGACTCCCGTGCTTGAAGGAGAAGAGCTTGGTTGCTAGAGGGATCAAAAAGCTTGTTTGCAAAGTAGGTGCAACCAGACAAATGTGATGGTTGGCTTCTACAGTGAGTGTTGCAAGGCTCAAAGTTGGAGTCATTTAGACAGTCGGTGTGCATAGGGTGCGAGAGGCAGCTGGCATGTTGTGAATGTGTCGACATAGCAGGCAGTCACTGCCAGTCTGCCACGCTTAGTTAATCAATCATGATCTTACCTCCTTTGTATGAAGGCGGTGTGGTACTCACTGGGGATGCTTGCAGATTGGCAGTGGATGCGTGCAGTGATGGAGGGTTATGTCGACGTCCCTATGGGTGACAGTCATGGTGATGTTCACTGCTGATATGGAGAGAACAGGGATAATGATAACTTTCCTTACTTGAACTAGAAAATGTGGTCAACAACAACAACAACAACAACAACAAAGCCTTTAGTCCCAAACAAGTTGGGGTAGGCTAGAGGTGAAACCCATAAGATCTCGCAACCAACTCATGGCTCTGGCACATGGATAGCAAGCTTCCACGCACCCCTGTCCATAGCTAGCTCTTTGTCGATACTCCAATCCTTTAGGTCTCTCTTAACGGACTCCTCCCATGTCAAAATCGGTCGACCCCGCCCTCTCTTGACATTCTCCGCACGCTTTAGCCGTCCGCTATGCACTGGAGCTTCTGGAGGCCTGCGCTGAATATGCCCAAACCATCTCAAACGATGTTGGACAAGCTTCTCCTCAATTGGTGCTACCCCAACTCTATCTCGTATATCATCATTCCGGACTCGATCCTTCCTCGTGTGGCGACACATCCATCTCAACATACGCATCTCCGCCACACCTAACTGTTGAACATGTCGCCTTTTAGTCGGCCAACACTCCGCGCCATACAACATTGCGGGTCGAACCGCCGTCCTGTAGAACTTGCCTTTTAGCTTTTGTGGCACTCTCTTGTCACAGAGAATGCCAGAAGCTTGGCGCCACTTCATCCATCCGGCTTTGATTCGATGGTTCACATCTTCATCAATACCCCCATCCTCCTGCAACATTGACCCCAAATACCGAAAGGTGTCCTTCCGAGGTACCACCTGGCCATCAAGGCTAACCTCCTCCTCCTCACAGCTAGTAGTACTGAAACCGCACATCATGTACTCGGTTTTAGTTCTACTAAGCCTAAACCCTTTCGATTCCAAGGTTTGTCTCCATAACTCTAACTTCCTATTTACCCCCGTCCGACTATCGTCAACTAGCACCACATCATCCGCAAAGAGCATACACCATGGGATATCTCCTTGTATACCCCTTGTGACCTCATCCATCACCAATGCAAAAAGATAAGGGCTCAAAGCTGACCCCTGATGCAGTCCTATCTTAATCGGGAAGTCATCGGTGTCGACATCACTTGTTCGAACACTTGTCACAATATTATTGTACATGTCATTGATGAGGGTAATGTACTTTGCTGGGACTTTGTGTTTCTCCAAGGCCCACCACATGACATTCCGCGGTATCTTATCATAGGCCTTCTCCAAGTCAATGAACACCATATGCAAGTCCTTCTTATGCTCCCTATATCTCTCCATAAGTTGTCGTACCAAGAAAATGGCTTCCATGGTCGACCTCCCAGGCATGAAACCAAACTGATTTTTGGTCACGCTTGTCATTCTTCTTAAGCGGTGCTCAATGACTCTCTCCCATAGCTTCATTGTATGGCTCATCAGCTTAATTCCACGGTAATTAGTACAACTCTGAACATCCCCCTTGTTCTTGAAGATTGGTACTAATATACTCCGTCTCCATTCTTCTGGCATCTTGTTTGCCTGAAAAATGAGGTTGAAAAGCTTGGTTAGCCATACTATCGCTATGTCCCCGAGACCTTTCCACAACTCAATGGGGATACAATCAGGGCCCATCGCCTTGCCTCCTTTCATCCTTTTTAAAGCCTCCTTCACCTCAGACTCCTGGATGCGCCGCACAAAACGCATGCTGGTCTCATCAAAGGAGTCATTCAGTTCAATGGTAGAACTCTCATTCTCCCCATTGAACAGCTTGTCGAAGTACTCCCGCCATCTATACTTAATCTCTTCGTCCTTCACCAAGAGTTGGCCTGCTCCGTCCTTGATGCATTTGACTTGGCCAATATCCCTCATCTTCCTCTCCCGGATCTTAGCCATCTTATAGATGTCCCTTTCACCTTCCTTCGTGCCTAACCGTTGGTAGAGGTCCTCATATGCCCGACCCCTTGCTTCACCAACAGCTCGCTTTGCGGCCTTCTTCGCCATCTTGTACTTCTCTATGTTGTCTGCACTCCTATCCAGGTATAGGCGTCTGAAGCAATCTTTCTTCTCTTTAAGCGCCTTCTGGACATCATCATTCCACCACCAGGTATCCTTATCGCTTCTCCTTCCCCTGGACACTCCAAACTCCTCCGAGGCCACCTTACGAATGCAAGTCGCCATCTTCATCCACACATTGTCCGCATCCCCTCCTTCCTCCCAAGGGCCCTCCTTAAATACCCTCTCCTTGAACACCTGAGCTACCTCCCCCTTGAGCTTCCACCACTTCGTTCTAGCGACCTTGGCACGCTTATCCCGCTGGACACGAATTCGAAAGCGGAAGTCAGCAAACACCAGCTTATGCTGGGGTACAACACTCTCCCCAGGTATCACCTTACAGTCTAGGCACGCACGCCTATCTTCTCTTCTCGAGAGGATGAAATCAATCTGGCTAGAGTGTTGGCCACTACTAAAAGTCACCAGATGTGATTCTCTCTTTCTAAAGAGGGTGTTAGCTACAAACATGTTGTAGGCTAGAGCAAAGCTTAAGACATCTTCCTTACTTGAACTAGAAAATGTGGTCAACAAATTAGATATTGTTGTGTTGATGTAACTCTTTCATATGACGTCAAAATGAAATCGCAGTGCACTAATTAAAAAAAATCACCTTATATATTATTTAATAATTCTGTAATTTATGTTTGTACAATGAACACAAACCTGCTAACTGATGTAGGACAAAGGCTGGGATGACATCTGCTGCAGAAAGTATTACTGAGAGCCTCCGTAGGTCTCGGCAGTTGATGGTTCAGGTTAGCACTCCTGCTCGTATAGTTGATATCTCATATTGCTAATGATTTCTTGGTCGCAAGTTCAAAAGTAATTTATTATATGTTTTTTGACAGGAAGTGGAAAGAAGCGCTAATACCTTGTCAACTTTTGGTAAGTTTTCCTGTGATTAAGCCTGTGCATAGGATGCTCGCTTGTAAGGTTCTGTACATTTAAGCCTGGTCAAGCTTTCCTTACAAATGTACAGTTATTTGATTATAGACTTTTGTTGGTTATTAATTTGTTACTAAGGAACCATGGCAGTCATGTGCTCCATATGAATAAGAACTACTCTGTTTCTGTCATTTAACGCATTTCCAGACCTATCGAGGCCAAGTTGCTAGCTAATTCTTTTCTAATGCAGATGAATCGACAAGTGTTCTCCGAAAGGCTGAAGGTGAATATCAAGGACACCGCTCTTTGCTGATGCGCACCCGTGGTTTGCTCTCCACGATGCAACGACAAGATGTTCTTGATAGGTATGTAGCACCAATCGTTTATGATTTGGTGGGTCGTGCAGTCTTTCATTCTGGTCTTTCAGTCAAACAAAAGAAGTGGAACAAATGTCTTTTAAGTCATGTATACCTGCTCCAGTTGCAATATGCATTTGGTTTCCATCCGCAAGACGAGTTTTTGCTTGTGTAATAACAATACTGTCTGGGTCGGGTTGTACTGGTTTCTAACTATTATCTCTTTCCAGGATCATCCTGACTGTTGGGTTCCTCATATTCTCCTTAGCAGTTCTGTATGTTGTCTCGAGACGTATTGGCCTGTTGACACTGCAAAGGAAGTTGGCTGATGCAATCAGATCGGGCTCAGTATCAGCTGGAGACATATTGGGTAAAGTACCCCAAGATGGACCTGCCCCAACAAATGCTCCTCGCGTCTATGATGAACTGTGATTTACTTCCATCCATTGTTTGTTGTACATGAGCTTACAACCAGAAGCAAGCTAACCTTTCAGAGTTGTTATTTCTTAGTTCATGTTGTCTAATGTTTTGAGTCTTGCTCTTGATACTTTGATAGATAGTTAGTCATTCATTTATTCTGCCCCCTTTATTTCTTGGTTAATTTAGCTGTTGTGCTGATATATATTACACCGTGGAATGGTAAGGGGTTGTTGCATTACATCCTCATGAAGATATTAGATACCGTTTTGGTTCTTTCCTCCTGGAATAGGAGAGGAGAACAGGAACAGTCAGTCAGGAGAATGTTGTTTGAATGTGTGGTCATGCATCTTAGTGGTTCATCTAGACTAGTTGCTGAGAATTGGGTAGACATGGGAAGCAACTGTATTGTACCAGTGTCTGTTTTGAATATATCTTACTTCAGGTAAGAAATATCTTGGAACAATAATTTGTCGGTTCATGCGTTCTAGTCTCACTCATACTTCCATGAGGAGAATGTAAGAGATAATTCTTCTGGGTTGATTGGGAATGTAAGAGATAATTCTTCTGGGTTGATTGGGTTCTTGTTCTTCCCTTCTTTATACGTAGATCTTTATTACTGGTTCTTTTTTTTTTAGCAATACTAGTTCTTCTTGTCGGGTAGCAAGAAAGAACCAGTGGTCACCGAGAGAGGCCCATACTAGAAATGGGTTCATAGTGGCCTGAAATGGGGCTTGAACCTGCTGAACTGTCACTGGGTCCATGCTGGCCAGCCCAAACCATCTATCATCAGGCACACCTCAAAAGAAAAAAAACCCTATCATGAGGCTGTGTGTATTTATATCTGTTGGAATTTTGCTAGTAGGCCTTTGGCCCAAAGCCCAACTAAAATTCTGAAATTCTCTTGGCCCATTCATGCACACATGTGAGTGGAGTGAGTGAGGCTAAAGTTTAGTCCCACCTCGGAAGTTGAGAGAGAGTTGCACCTCTTTATAAGATGAGCTCTTCTACCACTTGTATGAGCATGAGAAGAGGAGACCTACACGCGCGCTCCTCCTTGCTCGCCTCGCCACGCCACGCCGGTTTCTCACCACCGTTCCAGATCATTGCGCCGACAAGCAAGTCTTCTCCATCCCTCCTTCCGGCGTGCACCGCGAGAAGGGACAGCAGGCCTCCGGAACCCCGCCTCTTGTGATCCTGTACGGGAGAGGGGCGATCAGGTTTTTGGGGAGCACACTCGCGCGACTGCTGGCAGCGACGACTTCGCGAACGACGACTTTTTCCCCGACCTCGGCAACCTCGTCCTCGACGACATGGGCGACAACGTCAACGCCGGCGGTGCTGCACCCGCTGCACCGTATGTGATTCTATCCTTCCTTTTCGAGATCGTGGTAAAATTCATGCTTCTAGTATGTGCTCTAGATGTGATATGTTCATCTGCTATGCTAGTTCGCATGACTAGTTTAATCTCTGCTGCTGTGGTCATGATTCATCTTCTGTTTATTCGGATTAAATCTCGTAGTAATTTGCTCATATTTCCAACAATATCTACTCCGGGCATTTTCCTCTAGCTTCATGGCATGAGGATTTTCAGCCGTTGCTTGAGCAAGCGTGGACTACTGAAAATGACAAAAGGAGATATAAGTATTTGGATTTTAGAACTTTTTTTATATGTTGGTTGAAAAGTATGGATATATTTTTATTACTTCTGGTGTTCTACTGCCATGATGTTTGATGAATAGATTAAACATTTTTTTGAGAGGAATATTTTTTGTCTTTCGGATGCATATCTTGCGCTTGTATGTTATGCCAAAGGAGACAGCCGAGGACACGTCGTCGGTAGCAAGCGAGCGCCAGATATATTCATGGATAGGGATATTACACGTCTCCCAACGCAGTGCAAGTAAACAACAGTGCCCGCGTTCATCTGTCATTTTTCTCCCAAAGGAATAAACAGCTAATGCTTGTGCAATTAGTTAAATATTTCACCATACAATATAGTTAAACATTCCGTTGTGGAAAATTCAGTGGTTAACAAATTCAGCTAGTGTTTCATGCCAAGAAAGAAAGAGAAGGGTCAGGAGAAAAGGTTAAGTTGATATATATGAGTGTAGCTTTCTCCAGATATTTGCTTCATGCGTAACAAGTGGTGAGCGAGCTAGTGGCGATCGATTGATAGACAATGAAGTTCACATGGTTATACAGATGCTGAGATGCATGACTCGAATCACGCCTACCGTGTATAGTGGATTGCAAATTCTGTCCGGGTCGTATTCATCTTCTGGTCCATCGATTTTGATTCGACCGATTGGTTGGCTGCTCCACCACCATGTACAGGGCCTGGTCCAACGGATGGATAGGCACAAGCGCAATGATACCCCGATTCTCCACTCATTTCCTGAACAATTTGTGAACACTTTTATAAATCTCATGAATATTTTCTCATATTTGTGAACAATTTTTGAATTCACAACTTTTTAAAATCGGCAAACTTTTTGAAAAAATCATGTCCATTTTAAAAAACTGTGAAGATTTTTATAACTTATGAACATTTTAAAATTTCGTGAGTATTTTTTTCCATATTAGTGATAATTTTAAAACTTAGGGTTATTTTCTAAATTGGTGAGCATTTTCTAAGATTTGTAAATATTTTTTGAAATTCACAAAAATGTAAATTCTTGAATATTTTTACCTACTGGTCCATCAATTTTGATTCGACTGATTGGTCTGTTGGTCCACCACCAACCAACGCATGGATAAGCACAAGCGCAATGATACCCCACCGATACTCCACCCATTTTCTGTTTTTCAAATTCATAAAGATTTTTTTTCATATTCATCAATAATTTTTAAATTTGCAAATGTTTCAAATGTATAATTATTTTTTAAAATTTCAATCCCGTTTTAATGTTTTTGTGTAGATATTTAAAACTCATAATTTTTAAAAAAATCGTGACTGTTTTCAATATTGGTGAACAATTTTTAAATTTATGATTATCGTCTAAATTTGTAAGCGCTTTTTAAAATTGATGAACATCTTTTGAAATTCACAAAAAATAAATTCTTGAATATTTGTTCATCTCGGTGGCGACCAAAACCCCGACGCATGAACAACCACATTCCTAGGGAGGTTAGAATTTTAGAATGATTTTAAATTCACAGACATTTTCCATGAATTTGTAATGACCAAATACATCGGCACCTTGAACACAACAACCTTCTTTTGCTCCTTGCCTATACAACCAAGTAGTGGGGAGGCGACATGTAGTGGACTGACAAAAGCAAGAATGTCGGTTCCGATATTGTCATGCGAGACCCATGACTGACTAGACTCTTATAGGTGGGGTCCACATAGAGAAAAAAAATACTAGATCTCTCCTAAACTTCTATTCTTCTTTTTAGAAAACACAACACAGACGCAGATGATCACAATACACATGCACAAAGTCTCTACACCCCTTGAGCATCTCCAAGAGACCAAGACGATAGATCTTGAGATTGACGAAGTCGTTGCTACACCTTGTAACCGACGGGCACGCCATACAATTGAAAGAATTACGCCAAAAGTCCCCAAAAAATCCAACAAATATGCAAGCATCCATGTCAAGTCTAGAACTTGAACCAGCCGGATGGGCTCGTTCCACCACAAGGAATCTTACCACTAAGCTAGGCCTTTGTTCCTAAGGAGCTTAGTAAATTGTAAGGATACTATGTAACATTATGCCGCTCACCTCGTTATTCGTTCAACCTCACGTACACTAGCTAATTGCCCGTGCGTTGCAACGACCGCATACATATTCTAGTGGTTAACACTAATTATATCTGGCATATGCCTTATACACATTATATTATACCTGGATAAGATTTAATTTGATTTGAGTATGTATAGAGAATGCAAGGGAAGTTTTCATTTAGTTGAGGTTTTGGTAAGATTTGTTTTGATTTGTATCTGTAGGTGAAGAAAAAGAAAGTTTCGATTTAATTGTAATTTTGGGAAGATCTGTTTTGATTTGATTGAGTTAATGTAGGATATCATTTTTAGGGAATTATTGATTTGGCTGTGATTTTAGGAAAATTTGATTTGATTTGATTGAGTTAATGTAGGGCATGATTTTAGAAAAAAGTATTAATTTGGTTTGAATTGTTCCAAGTTACTCTATTTATGTTGGTTTTAGTTTGGTGCAACATTGGTTGAGAGTACCAAAAAATCAACAGGAAAACCAAGGAGGAAGGGGGTCGTGAGGAGGAAAAAATGGAGTGAGGAGGGGAGGCAACGGAACCAACTCCCTTCTCTCTGTTTTGATTTTGTTCCTCCTTTTGTATCTCTATTTTTTCTAGTGGTTTCCCCTGAAAACGCATTAACTGTCCTTTATTGACTTATCAAATATATTTTCTTTGGTAAGTCAAAAAATATATTTACCAAATAAATCTTAGAATTTTTCTTGGTAGGTAAGTCATGTACATGATTTTATTTGGTAAACATTTACTTACATGACTATTATGACTAAGCATGTAAATCATGACCTAATGCATTAAAAATAATATATGCATTGAAACACACATGAATTATCTTTGCCACTAAAGAGGAGTTACGTTACCTAATCCTTTGAGGTATATGGTGCTAGTTAGAGAGATACATGAGATGATGAAGGATGCGAGGGAGATCTTTGTTAGTAAGATTAGTCGTACTCAGAAAAAAGTTAGCCATGCCCTTGCTATCTATTGGCGGTGCACTCCACGCGCAATGTGGTGTGGTTAGGAGGAGTCACTGATGATATTGTTACTCTTTGTAAGAATGATGTACCACCCTAAGTAATGAAGATCTCCTATCCTCCGCAAAGAAAGAGTAGTTTGTGGGTTTGTCTCACCTTCTTCCCTAGTTTTTCCTGTAGGCCCCCCTTGGGTTCGTGATCAAATAAAACCAATATAAATAGAGTAATTTAAAATAATCTAGAAAAACACACCCCGCATCAACTCGGTCAAATCATATCGAATCTCAACTAAATCAAAACTTCTATTGCCTTCCCTACTTATACTCAAATCAAATAATATCATACCAAAACCCAAACTAAATCAAAAAAAATTCCTTGCTTTCACCTAATTATAATCAAATCATATATTGCAAAACACATACCCTCTCCGCGTGTCAGAAACGCTCCTATATAATGGGACGGAGGGAGTAGATTTATCTTTTTTGTGAGAACCAAAAATATAGAATATGATGGATGTAAGGCATATGTCGGAGAAGATTGATGCTGTATGTCCACGCTACAACGCACGGATAATTAACTAGTCTAGTTAAAAGTAAAATTATATGAAAAAATAGGATGTAGTGATCTCTCTCCATATATACAGAAAAAGCAAGCAATTTGTCGGGCAAATGTTATCACGGGTTGATCCGGAAAAACCACACTCCGGTCCAGCGGGTGAGTAGCTAGCATGATCTGGATGCTTCGTTGATAATTAATCGGGCGTAGGCCACACTTGGCAGGGTGGAACTATCGACGGTGGACGTGTAGCGCGGATGCATGCACGCCGGTAGCGCATTTTGTCCGCGTCCGCCGTCCATGGCGTGGCGATGGACGGACGGGCGACGGTCACCTCGGCAGTGGCGTCCAGCCCATGGCCCCCACGCGCCCCGAGACGTGGACGGTGGATAGCCTCTCTACCCCCTCTATAAATCACGGGACTGCGCACCAACCTTCGAAAGCAGAGCAAGATCAGATCAGAGAACAGAGCGGAGCGGATAAACTCGAGTTCGATCATCACCAACCATGTCGTGCTGCGGAGGCAACTGCGGGTGCGGATCCGGCTGCAAGTGCGGCAACGGCTGCGGAGGGTAATTTTTCATCTCCAATCTCCTTCTAAAACCCGCGTTCGATCTCCCGATCTTTATGCCTTCTTTCTCAACCTTTTCCTTAAATCTCACCTCGATCCATCTTGTTCCGCTGGCCGCTGCCTAACAGCATGCATGTCCATCGATCTCCTCTTGTCCTTATAACAACAACTAAATTAAGAGATGCGCGTGAACAAATCTGCTGAGGAGGAGGGGAAAAAAATCAAAAAATCTCCCTCCCTTAGATGAGGCCATGCACGATGTCTGTTTGCCTGTCGATTTCTTGGAGAGATCTACAAGAGTCTCTGTGAATTGTGACTGATAATGATCGTCTTGTGCATGCAGGTGCAAGATGTACCCTGAGATGGACGAGGGAGTGAACACCGCCTCCCAGACCCTCATCATGGGCGTGGCCCCCTCCAAGGGCACCCCGTCGTTCGAGGCCGCCGCCGAGAACGGAGGGTGCAAGTGCGGCCCCAACTGCACCTGCAACCCGTGCACCTGCAAGTGATCCATGAGGCCTCAATCAAATCAGATCAAGGAGATGGCATGGATGGACCTGATGAAGGAGCGAGTAGTAGTTATGCATGAATCGCAAGCGTGTGTTTCGTTTTAAATTGCCACCCAGAATAAGACGAGATCTATCGTATCGTATCGAGCTAGTTAATGGATTATCCGTGCCCCTTGTGGCTTGTACCGTGTGCTGTGTAAGGCGTCTTGTGCTGTGATGCGCCTTTTCCTACCTGTTCTAGTTCCGTCCTGATGTGTAGACAATAATAATTTGGAGTTTCTGCCTATGTCCAAATTAGTATGTCCTGATGCTTATGCGTTATCTAATTAGCATCTCAAGAAACAATCTGCTCTAGTTATCCCCATACTAATGGACATGATAACAATCTTATCAATTGTTTGCTACTATAGACATGATGGCAAAATGTGTCTTTAATTAGATCCAATCAACTGGGTTAAACAAGTTTACTTCGTGGAGGCGCCGAGGCAGCAATCAAGGTTTGCTCTGAATATAATTTTGTTTTTTCCTGTAAGGGTGCGTTTATAAAGAATTTTGATATAGTTGCAAAAGTTCCCAAATATATAACCCAGCTGGCCAGCTTTATAAGCACACATGGAGACCGTTACCCTTATGAGCACCTGCGAATGAGGTTCGATCGCTGGGGCTATCTGCCCTCTTATCCATCTAACAACTTCTTTTTTGAAAGACTTGTGATAATTAATATATGGCACTCCCTATTGGAAGAAAAAGAAGAATTCTATGCCATCCGCAAAAAAGGATGGTCTGGATTGTGCTGATTCGGTACCAACCATTTCAACCTGTTCTAGCGAAATGCTCATGTTGCTTTGGCTGGAGCTGGTTCAAATTCTTTGTAATTTGATTGGACACTTGGACAGTAAGTTATGAGGGTCTATTTTGTGCGCTGCAGTTTTTTTCCTTGGATACATTTTCACGCCTGGGGAATTTCTTAAGGAAAGGGTTAACACAAGAAATCCCGCAAGAAAAAAAGGTTAACACAAGAAGAAAGAGTTGAGGGAAGTAAATTATGTCCAAAGAACATAATGATATTGTGGTTGGAGCTACTTCTGACTCGTTATAAAATGTCATTGACAGTAGAGACATGCTTGTGTAGAAACTAGTTGGTTACTGGATTCTATGTGAAGTCACTGATTCTTGCCATTATTTTGGCACAGCAGCGGATATATTGCATAGAAAAGGTTAAGATAAGTGAATTGTATGCCCAAAAGAGCAAAATAGTTCCACTGGTTTCTGCAACGTATTAAGAAAAAAGAAAACAAGAACAACATGTGGCTGATTCTATGTGAAGTCACTGATTCTTGCCATTATTTTGGCACAGCAGCGGATATATTGCATAGAAAAGGTTAAGATAAGTGAATTGTATGCCCAAAAGAGCAAAATAGTTCCACTGGTTTCTGCAACGTATTAAGAAAAAAGAAAACAAGAACAACATGTGGCTGCTGGGATTCGAGCCCAGGTCTCCACGGCCACAACGTGGAATTCTCACCACTAAACTACAGCCACTTTGTGGTCATATTTTCAATCACACCTTTATAGTTCCTTGACAGGCATCAGCTGATGCAAATCGCAAACTTGTGAACACGAAATTGCTTGTTGTCACGAACGGAATGAGAAATCAGTCGCTGACACTCACCGTGAGTCTTTTTCAAACTATCAAGCTTTTTTTGTCGAAGCTATGAAGTCAACAACAATGGGTTCTCAAGAACAAAAAAATTTGTCAACATCGATCTCCTTCTGGGCTAAGCCCAGCCCGCAAAGTACAAAGCCAGCCCGATGATCTAGTCTATCCCATACTTAAGCTCAGCCCATTTGCTCGTCCATTTCTGCTGTGTCCGTCCATGCCCCTCCACTCCGCCGCCGGCTCCACCTGAATGGGAGCCAAGGAGCTGGGATTGGGCAACTTATCTGTGCAATTACGTGGTTGTTTGCATTGGAGCACGGGACCAATGCAGCATGGGAATGAAAGCAACATGGTAATGGTGTTCGACACTACAGCCGAGTCGTTCTGGCTGATGCGTGCTCCGGTTGTTCATCACTTGATTGATCGTGTCTACCTGTTTGAGATGGATGGCACGCTTGGCACGTTCAGCTTTAATGATGAAGAGATGACAATTGACATCTGGATGTTGCATGACTATGAAAGCGAGGTCTGGACCCTCAAGTGCCACATTAAACTGCCGGTTACAGAGGTCAGGGCGCGGTGTGGAAGTCTTGACAATGACGAATATTGGGATGTGGTGGTCGTGCCTGGGGATGGTGAGTTGATCGTGCTGGTCAAACTTGCCGGGTGGTTACTTCACATTGACATGGATGGCAAGTTGGTCGCCAATTTCCATCACCAAAGTGTTTGGCCTTCTCAATTTCAGCTCAAGCAATCTCTTTTCCCGCATGCCTTCTTTCCAACACTAGAGGGCTATGTTGTGAATGAGGTGCCTTTCTTATGAAGACTATTGATCAGTGAGCTGATACTTATTATGCTTCTAGATGTTTGTATCCTCACGAGCCGCAATATGTATGAGTTTTGTTTGAATGCAATATGTATGAATTGGGTCCACTGTGAGCCTACTAGCTTCTTTGTCGATGCGTATAAAATTCTAATCTAGAAGCTTTGACTGTTATATAGTTTGTATGAAACTATGCTTGTGTCGAAACCATTTCAGAATCAAGGGATTATTCTGCGTGTCAAAGCCAAATTTATCAAGTCATCTTGGTGTGTCTGAAATATGTACTAATTGATCTACCCTATGTCCCCATTTCCCCCCTATGTCCCTATTTTCCCCAAGGACTTTAGCAGCATTCATATTTTATATAAAATAATGTGTTATTCACTATTTTCTTCCAGCATCATCCCAAAATTCCATAAAAAGGATTAACATAGGCATCACTCTGAATGTACAAGAGATCTAAATTGAGTGAGTTTGAAGTGTGAGATGGTTATTGTAAAATATCACTCTAAGTTCCAATGCCATGTGTTTGCTCTTACAAGGTACTCCTTACTTCAAAAAATACTCATAAGAAGTAAGAAAATTGATACGAGTGAAATGTCCATAAGCTGTTACTCCCTTTGTATGAATTACATTTTTTGTTTTCTGCCGCTTCATCTTCAGCAGTAGACAATCTATGTACATCTGAAGGCTGGCTGAAATCTGTGGGACTAGCATGTTGTGTGAAAACAAACGGAGTAGGTCACAGAGGGAAAGAAAGGATTAAGTTTGAGTGAGCTTTTACCATTGGTCCTGGTTGCTTGAGTACCCTATTCCATTTTCCTATTATGCGTGCAGCTCATAAGTTGCTGGAGAAAACAGTGGTAGTTGGGTCTGATTACTGTTCTGTTTGCAGTGATGAGATTGTGTGATCTTCCAGATGAGACTTTTTCGGGCTGGCGTACATAGAGGGTGCAATCTAAGCTATGCACTTCAACCAAGTGATAAGGAGGAAGGTAAACTTCAGAACTGTTTTTCTTCACCAAGTCTCAATGTACTATCCACTACTGAAATTTCCCCTGCCCCTATATGTATGTAGTACTCCCTCCGTTCCTGCAATCTATATGTATGTAGTATATTAAAGGGTAATGAAGGGGCATGTTTTTCAGGTTTTATGATAGTACACTGTAATAGATTTTACTAAATTTTACAACAAATGAAAATAGTGGTTGATTTCTACTAGAGGCCGCCAGCAAAGTTCCTACATAATACGAGTAGCAAAATGAGAAAGCCAACAGAAAAGGAGTCCCACTGCCCAAATCTAGTTATTACAGGAACCAGCTTAGACCAAGGATCATGCCCATAAGCAAAACATCTCCAAAACGCACAGGAAGATAGAAGTGCAACTTGCAAATGTCCCAAACACAGGTGCACATCCATGTATTCGAGCATAAGCTACCTGGGCGACCATCTTCAGCATCAGAACTCCTTCCTCAAGTTTTTTTTTTGCTGAAGCCTTAAAATGCTATCTTTAATTAAGCATCAGCCACAAGAATATCTTGGTTTTGGGGGGAACTATAAGTTTCCAGGTGAATATGTAGTTCACCAAGGCCCTCTCTTTCAGTTGAAGGTATAAAGATCCAACACTGATTTTTGGACGTGGCTAGTAGGCGCGCGAGCGCTCGTTGATGGGCCACTAACGGCCATGAGCGGGCGTCCGTTAGCCGTTAGGGCAGCCGTCGTCCTGCCATGTGGGCCATCCCTGTCAGTTATGCGGTTAAAACGGCTAAATGGACGATCAACATTATGGGCTGTTATTACACATTATGTCACAATACTTATGCCTATTCTCTTTTATTTTGCAAGGTTTACATAAAAAGGGAGAATGCCGGCAGCTGGGATTCTGGGCTGGAAAATGAGCAAATATTAGAGACCTATTCTGCACAGCTCCAAAAGTCCTGAAACTTCACGTAAGTCATTTTCAGAATATATAATAAATACTGAGCGCAAGAAGTTCACCAGGGGGGCCACACCCTGCCCACGAGGGTGGGGGCGCGCCCTACCCCCCTGGGCGCGCCCCTACCTCGTGGGCCCCCTGGTGGCCCTCTGATGCCCATCTTCTGCTATATGGAGTCTTTCGATGAGGAAAAAAAAGCATAAGCCATCTTTCCGGACGAGACTCCGCCGCCACGAGGCGGAATCTTGGCGGAACCAATCTAGGGCTCTGACGGAACTGTTCTGCTGGGGAAACTTCCCTCCGGGAGGGGGAAATCATCGCCATAGTCATCACCAACGCTCCTCTCATCGGGAGAGGGCAATCTCCATCAACACCTTCATCAGCACCATCTCCTCTCAAAACCCTAGTTCATCTCTTGTATCCAATTCTTGTCTCCAAGTCTGAGATTGGTACATGTGGGTTGTTAGTAGTGTTAATTACTCCTCGTAGTTGATGCTAGTTGGTTTATTTGGTGGAAGATCATACGTTCAGATCCTTTATGCATATTAATACCCCTCTGATTATGAACATGAATATGCTTT